ACACCCCCTGCCCCCTCATGCCATCCGCTCCCCCCCGCCCCCACCCTCCGCGTGGCCGCTCCCTTGCCGCCTCTTTTGACCCTCCCTGCCCCCCCTCGCCGTTTCCACACCGCCCGCCATTCGCTCCTCACCCGCCCGTGCGCTCCCCTCGTTTACCTTCTCCTCCCCCTCTCCCCTCCTCTGCTGCACGCCTCTGTCCTTCCCCTCGCCGACCCACTCCACTCCCTGCCCCTCCTCAATCCGCACCCTGCCCCTCGTATCTCGCCCCCCTATGCTTGGTTTCTCCCCTCCCTGCCCCTCGCCGCCTTTCTCCGCATCCCCCACCTCCCCCCTCTCCCTGCCCCCCCCACTCTCCCCCCCTGCCCTTGGCTTCCTACCTCCCTGCCCCACCTTTCCCCCTCCGTGTGCTCAGCTTCTCCCCCTCCCTGCCCCTCCCTCCTCCCCGCCCTGCCCCTCATTTTCCGCCCCCCCACGCCCGGTTTCTCCCCTCCCCGCGGCCTCCCTTTCTTCTCCGTGCCTCTCCTTTGCTCCCTCCCTGCCCCCGCCTGCCCATGCCCCTGTCTTTGGCTTCTCCCCTCCCTGCCCCACGTTTCTTCCCTCCCTGCCCCCCTCTGCCCCTCCCTTGTTTTCCCCTCACCCATTGCTTCTCCCCTCCCTGCCCTGATTTCCCGCACCCTGCCCTTGTTTCCTACCATCCATGCCCCTCGTTTCCCCCCTTTGTACGTTCAGCCTCTTCCCTCCCTGCCCCTCCCCTCCTCCCCCCCTGCCCTTTGCGTTCCCCTCGTTACGCTCCCTTCTCCCATCCCTGCTGCCCTCTGCCACCATCAGCCCATCCGCACCACCAGCCCCCCTCCCACCCTTCTCTCCCCCCCCTCCCTTTCCTCTCTCTCTCTCTCTCTCTCTCTCTCTCTCGTTCTCACACACACACGCACACTCCCCTCCCCCACCCCCCACCACGTCCTCCCATTCCGCCCCTCCCTGCCCCTTTCCCCCCCCCTCGCACGCCCCTCACCTCCCACCTCCGTGCAACTGGTTTCCCCCTATGGTGCCTCCTTGCATCGCTCGCCCCCGCTGCTCACCCTCTGCCCGCCCCTTTTCCGTGCCCTCAGCTGGCCCAGCCCCTGCCCGTTGCTGCCCCTCCCCTTGCCCCCTCAACTCCCCTGCCCCCCGTACACCCCAGTCCCATCCAACCGCCCCCACCCTCCCCCGGCTGCCCGTTTTCCCTCTCCACCCCCGCGACCGTGTGCGGCTTCCAACCGCCCAACGGTGGTGCGCACGGGGCGTTTCTTCGCACGGGCAAGCCTCCCCGGGGGGCCCCCACCCCGCTGAGTCGTTGTTTGGGCAAAAAAACGAAAAAAAAAAAAAAAAAATCGGACGCGCTAAAATCGTCCTTTCTTTTTCCCGCTTGCCCCTCCCCCGGCACGTGCCGAGCAAGGGGCATAAATGGGTACAACACGAGGACTTCCCAGGAGGTCACCCAGCCCAGTACTGCTCTCGCCCACCGGCGCTTAGCTTCGGAGTTCTGATGGGATCCGGCGTAGTAGCCGAGGTATGATCGTACCACGTCAATCCCGTGCCCCGACCGGTACACACCCCTTGCCCGGGTCCCCCCTTCATAGTCACACCCCCTGCCTCCTCATGCCATCCGCTCCCCCCCCGCCCCCACCCTCCGCGTGCCCGCTCCCTTGCCGCCTCTTTTGACCCTCCCTGCCCCCCTCGCCGTTTCCCACCGCCCGCCATTCGCTCCTCCCCGCCCGTGCGCTCCCCTCGTTTACCTTCTCCTCCCCCCTCCCCTCCTCTGCTGCACGCCTCTTCCTTCCCCTCGCCGACCCACTCCACTCCCTGCCCCTCCTCAATCCGCACCCTGCCCCTCGTATCTCGCCCCCCTATGCTTGGTTTTCTCCCCTCCCTGCCCCTCGCCGCCTTTCTCCGCTCCCCACCTCCCCCCCTCTCCCTGCTCCCCCACTCTCCCCCCCTTGCCCTTGGCTTCCTACCTCCCTGCCCCACCTTTCCCCCCTCCGTGTGCTCAGCTTCTCCCCTCCCTGCCCCTCCCTCCTCCCCGCCCTGCCCCTCATTTTCCGCCCCCCCACGCCCGGTTTCTCCCCTCCCCGCGCCTCCCTTTCTTTCTCCGTGCCTCTCCTTTGCTCCCTCCCTGCCCCCGCCTGCCCATGCCCCTGTCTTTGGCTTCTCCCCCTCCCTGCCCCACGTTTCTTCCCTCCCTGCCCCCCCTCTGCCCCTCCCTTGTTTTCCCCTCACCCATTGCTTCTCCCCTCCCTGCCCTTGATTTCCCGCACCCCTGCCCTTGTTTCCTACCATCCATGCCCCTCGTTTCCCCCCTTTGTACGTTCAGCCTCTTCCCTCCCTGCCCCTCCCCTCCTCCCCCCCTGCCCTTTGCGTTCCCCTCGTTACGCTCCCTTCTCCCCATCCCTGCTGCCCTCTTGCCACCATCAGCCCATCCGCACCACCAGCCCCCCTCCCACCCTCTCTCCCCCCCTCCCTTGCCCGCCCTCTCTCTCTCTCTCTCTCTCTCTCTCTCTCTCTCTTTCTCACACACACACGCACACTCCCCTCCCCCACCCCCCACCCACGTCCTCCCATTCCGCCCCTCCCTGCCCCTTTCCCACCCCCCTCGCACGGCCCCTCACCTCCCACCTCCGTGCAACTGGTTTCCCCCCTATGGTGCCTCCCTTGCATCGCTCGCCCCGCTGCTCACCCTCTGCCCGCCCCTTTTCCGTGCCCTCAGCTGGCCCAGCCCCTGCCCGTTGCTGCCCCTCCCCTTGCCCCCTCAACTCCCCTGCCCCCCGTACACCCCAGTCCCATCCAACCGCCCCCACCCTCCCCCGGCTGCCCGTTTCTCCGCTCTCCACCCCCGCGACCGTGTGCGGCTTCCAACCGCCCAACGGTGGTGCGCACGGGGCGTTTCTTCGCACGGGCAAGCCTCCCCGGGGGGCCCCCACCCCGCTGAGTCGTTGTTTGGGCAAAAAAAACGAAAAAAAAAAAAAAAAATCGGACGCGCTAAAATCGTCCTTTCTTTTTCCCGCTTGCCCCTCCCCCGGCACGTGCCGAGCAAGGGGCATAAATGGGTACAACACGAGGACTTCCCGGGAGGTCACCCAGCCCAGTACTGCTCTCGCCCACCGGCGCTTAGCTTCGGAGCTCTGATGGGATCCGGCGTAGTAGCCGAGGGTATGATCGTACCACGTCAATCCCGTGCCCCGACCGGTACACACCCCTTGCCCGGGTCCCCCCTTCATAGTCACACCCCCTGCCTCCTCATGCCATCCGCTCCCCCCCGCCCCCACCCTCCGCGTGCCCGCTCCCTTGCCGCCTCTTTTGACCCTCCCTGCCCCCCTCGCCGTTTCCCACCGCCCGCCATTCGCTCCTCCCCGCCCGTGCGCTCCCCTCGTTTACCTTCTCCTCCCCCCTCCCCTCCTCTGCTGCACGCCTCTTCCTTCCCCTCGCCGACCCACTCCACTCCCTGCCCCTCCTCAATCCGCACCCTGCCCCTCGTATCTCGCCCCCCTATGCTTGGTTTCTCCCCTCCCTGCCCCTCGCCGCCTTTCTCCGCTCCCCACCTCCCCCCTCTCCCTGCTCCCCCACTCTCCCCCCCTTGCCCTTGGCTTCCTACCTCCCTGCCCCACCTTTCCCCCCTCCGTGTGCTCAGCTTCTCCCCTCCCTGCCCCTCCCTCCTCCCCGCCCTGCCCCTCATTTTCCGCCCCCCCACGCCCGGTTTCTCCCCTCCCCGCGCCTCCCTTTCTTTCTCCGTGCCTCTCCTTTGCTCCCTCCCTGCCCCCCGCCTGCCCATGCCCCTGTCTTTGGCTTCTCCCCTCCCTGCCCCACGTTTCTTCCCTCCCTGCCCCCCCTCTGCCCCTCCCTTGTTTTCCCCTCACCCATTGCTTCTCCCCTCCCTGCCCTTGATTTCCCGCACCCCTGCCCTTGTTTCCTACCATCCATGCCCCTCGTTTCCCCCCTTTGTACGTTCAGCCTCTTCCCTCCCTGCCCCTCCCCTCCTCCCCCCCTGCCCTTTGCGTTCCCCTCGCTTACGCTCCCTTCTCCCCATCCCTGCTGCCCTCTTGCCACCATCAGCCCATCCGCACCACCAGCCCCCCTCCCACCCTTCTCTCCCCCCCTCCCTTTCCCTCTCTCTCTCTCTCTCTCTCTCTCTCTCTTTCTCACACACACACGCACACTCCCCTCCCCCACCCCCCACCCACGTCCTCCCATTCCGCCCCTCCCTGCCCCTTTCCCACCCCCTCGCACGCCCCTCACCTCCCACCTCCGTGCAACTGGTTTCCCCCCTATGGTGCCTCCCTTGCATCGCTCGCCCCTCTGCTCACCCTCTGCCCGCCCCTTTTCCGTGCCCTCAGCTGGCCCAGCCCCTGCCCGTTGCTGCCCCTCCCCTTGCCCCCTCAACTCCCCTGCCCCCCGTACACCCCAGTCCCATCCAACCGCCCCCACCCTCCCCCGGCTGCCCGTTTCCGCTCTCCACCCCCGCGACCGTGTGCGGCTTCCAACCGCCCAACGGTGGTGCGCACGGGGCGTTTCTTCGCACGGGCAAGCCTCCCCGGGGGGCCCCCACCCCGCTGAGTCGTTGTTTGGGCAAAAAAACGAAAATAAAAAAAAATCGGACGCGCTAAAATCGTCCTTTCTTTTTCCCGCTTGCCCCTCCCCCGGCACGTGCCGAGCAAGGGGCATAAATGGGTACAACACGAGGACTTCCCGGGAGGTCACCCAGCCCAGTACTGCTCTCAGCCCACCGGCGCATAGCTTCGGAGCTCTGATGGGATCCGGCGTAGTAGCCGAGGTATGATCGTACCACGTCAATCCCGTGCCCCGACCGGTACACACCCCTTGCCCGGGTCCCCCCTTCATAGTCACACCCCCTGCCTCCTCATGCCATCCGCTCCCCCCGCCCCCACCCTCCGCGTGCCCGCTCCCTTGCCGCCTCTTTTGACCCTCCCTGCCCCCCTCGCCGTTTCCCACCGCCCGCCATTCGCTCCTCCCCGCCCGTGCGCTCCCCTCGTTTACCTTCTCCTCCCCCCTCCCCTCCTCTGCTGCACGCCTCTTCCTTCCCCTCGCCGACCCACTCCACTCCCTGCCCCTCCTCAATCCGCACCCTGCCCCTCGTATCTCGCCCCCCTATGCTTGGTTTCTCCCCTCCCTGCCCCTCGCCGCCTTTCTCCGCTCCCCACCTCCCCCCTCTCCCTGCTCCCCCACTCTCCCCCCCTTGCCCTTGGCTTCCTACCTCCCTGCCCCACCTTTCCCCCCTCCGTGTGCTCAGCTTCTCCCCTCCCTGCCCCTCCCTCCTCCCCGCCCTGCCCCTCATTTTCCGCCCCCCCACGCCCGGTTTCTCCCCTCCCCGCGCCTCCCTTTCTTTCTCCGTGCCTCTCCTTTGCTCCCTCCCTGCCCCCTGCCTGCCCATGCCCCTGTCTTTGGCTTCTCCCCTCCCTGCCCCACGTTTCTTCCCTCCCTGCCCCCCCCTCTGCCCCTCCCTTGTTTTCCCCTCACCCATTGCTTCTCCCCTCCCTGCCCTTGATTTCCCGCACCCCTGCCCTTGTTTCCTACCATCCATGCCCCTCGTTTCCCCCCTTTGTACGTTCAGCCTCTTCCCTCCCTGCCCCTCCCCTCCTCCCCCCCTGCCCTTTGCGTTCCCCTCGCTACGCTCCCTTCTCCCCATCCCTGCTGCCCTCTTGCCACCATCAGCCCATCCGCACCACCAGCCCCCCTCCCACCCTTCTCTCCCCCCCTCCCTTTCCCTCTCTCTCTCTCTCTCTCTCTCTCTCTTTCTCACACACACACGCACACTCCCCTCCCCCACCCCCCACCCACGTCCTCCCATTCTGCCCCTCCCTGCCCCTTTCCCACCCCCTCGCACGCCCCTCACCTCCCACCTCCGTGCAACTGGTTTCCCCCCTATGGTGCCTCCCTTGCATCGCTCGCCCCTCTGCTCACCCTCTGCCCGCCCCTTTTCCGTGCCCTCAGCTGGCCCAGCCCCTGCCCGTTGCTGCCCCTCCCCTTGCCCCCTCAACTCCCCTGCCCCCCGTACACCCCAGTCCCATCCAACCGCCCCCACCCTCCCCCGGCTGCCCGTTTCCGCTCTCCACCCCCGCGACCGTGTGCGGCTTCCAACCGCCCAACGGTGGTGCGCACGGGGCGTTTCTTCGCACGGGCAAGCCTCCCCGGGGGGCCCCCACCCCGCTGAGTCGTTGTTTGGGCAAAAAAAACGAAAAATAAAAAAAAATCGGACGCGCTAAAATCGTCCTTTCTTTTTCCCGCTTGCCCCTCCCCCGGCACGTGCCGAGCAAGGGGCATAAATGGGTACAACACGAGGACTTCCCGGGAGGTCACCCAGCCCAGTACTGCTCTCGCCCACCGGCGCTTAGCTTCGGAGCTCTGATGGGATCCGGCGTAGTAGCCGAGGTATGATCGTACCACGTCAATCCCGTGCCCCGACCGGTACACACCCCTTGCCCGGGTCCCCCCTTCATAGTCCACCCCCTGCCCCTCATGCCATCCGCTCCCCCCGCCCCCACCCTCCGCGTGCCGCTCCCTTGCCGCCTCTTTTGACCCTCCCTGCCCCCCTCGCCGTTTCCCACCGCCCGCCATTCGCTCCTCCCCGCCCGTGCGCTCCCCTCGTTTACCTTCTCCTCCCCCCTCCCCTCCTCTGCTGCACGCCTCTTCCTTCCCCTCGCCGACCCACTCCACTCCCTGCCCCTCCTCAATCCGCACCCTGCCCCTCGTATCTCGCCCCCCTATGCTTGGTTTCTCCCCTCCCTGCCCCTCGCCGCCTTTCTCCGCTCCCCACCTCCCCCCTCTCCCTGCCCCCCCACTCTCCCCCCCTTGCCCTTGGCTTCCTACCTCCTGCCCCACCTTTCCCCCCTCCGTGTGCTCAGCTTCTCCCCTCCCTGCCCCTCCCTCCTCCCCGCCCTGCCCCTCATTTTCCGCCCCCCCACGCCCGGTTTCTCCCCTCCCCGCGCCTCCTTTCTTTCTCCGTGCCTCTCCTTTGCTCCCTCCCTGCCCCCGCCTGCCCATGCCCCTGTCTTTGGCTTCTCCCTCCCTGCCCCACGTTTCTTCCCTCCCTGCCCCCCCTCTGCCCCTCCCTTGTTTTCCCCTCACCCATTGCTTCTCCCCTCCCTGCCCTTGATTTCCCGCACCCCTGCCCTTGTTTCCTACCATCCATGCCCCTCGTTTCCCCCCTTTGTACGTTCAGCCTCTTCCCTCCCTGCCCCTCCCCTCCTCCCCCCCTGCCCTTTGCGTTCCCCTCGTTACGCTCCCTTCTCCCCATCCCTGCTGCCCTCTTGCCACCATCAGCCCATCCGCACCACCAGCCCCCCTCCCACCCTTCTCTCCCCCCCTCCCTTTCCCTCTCTCTCTCTCTCTCTCTCTCTCTCTCTTTCTCACACACACACGCACACTCCCCTCCCCCAACCCCCACCCACGTCCTCCCATTCCGCCCCTCCCTGCCCCTTTCCCACCCCCTCGCACGCCCCTCACCTCCCACCTCCGTGCAACTGGTTTCCCCCCTATGGTGCCTCCCTTGCATCGCTCGCCCCTCTGCTCACCCTCTGCCCGCCCCTTTTCCGTGCCCTCAGCTGGCCCAGCCCCTGCCCGTTGCTGCCCCTCCCCTTGCCCCCTCAACTCCCCTGCCCCCCGTACACCCCAGTCCCATCCAACCGCCCCCACCCTCCCCCGGCTGCCCGTTTCCGCTCTCCACCCCCGCGACCGTGTGCGGCTTCCAACCGCCCAACGGTGGTGCGCACGGGGCGTTTCTTCGCACGGGCAAGCCTCCCCGGGGGGCCCCCACCCCGCTGAGTCGTTGTTTGGGCAAAAAAACGAAAATAAAAAAATCGGACGCGCTAAAATCGTCCTTTCTTTTTCCCGCTTGCCCCTCCCCCGGCACGTGCCGAGCAAGGGGCATAAATGGGTACAACACGAGGACTTCCCGGGAGGTCACCCAGCCCAGTACTGCTCTCGCCCACCGGCGCTTAGCTTCGGAGCTTCTGATGGGATCCGGCGTAGTCGCCGAGGTATGATCGTACCACGTCAATCCCGTGCCCCGACCGGTACACACCCCTTGCCCGGGTCCCCCCTTCATAGTCACACCCCCTGCCCCCTCATGCCATCCAGCTCCCCCCGCCCCCACCCTCCGCGTGCCCGCTCCCTTGCCGCCTCTTTTGACCCTCCCTGCCCCCCTCGCCGTTTCCCACCGCCCGCCATTCGCTCCTCCCCGCCCGTGCGCTCCCCTCGTTTACCTTCTCCTCCCCCCTCCCCTCCTCTGCTGCACGCCTCTTCCTTCCCCTCGCCGACCCACTCCACTCCCTGCCCCTCCTCAATCCGCACCCTGCCCCTCGTATCTCGCCCCCCTATGCTTGGTTTCTCCCCCTCCCTGCCCCTCGCCGCCTTTCTCCGCTCCCCACCTCCCCCCTCTCCCTGCCCCCCCACTCTCCCCCCCTTGCCCTTGGCTTCCTACCTCCCTGCCCCACCTTTCCCCCCTCCGTGTGCTCAGCTTCTCCCCTCCCTGCCCCTCCCTCCTCCCCGCCCTGCCCCTCATTTTCCGCCCCCCCACGCCCGGTTTCTCCCCTCCCCGCGCCTCCCTTTCTTTCTCCGTGCCTCTCCTTTGCTCCCTCCCTGCCCCCGCCTGCCCATGCCCCTGTCTTTGGCTTCTCCCCTCCCTGCCCCACGTTTCTTCCCTCCCTGCCCCCCCTCTGCCCCTCCCTTGTTTTCCCCTCACCCATTGCTTCTCCCCTCCCTGCCCTTGATTTCCCGCACCCCTGCCCTTGTTTCCTACCATCCATGCCCCTCGTTTCCCCCCTTTGTACGTTCAGCCTCTTCCCTCCCTGCCCCTCCCCTCCTCCCCCCCTGCCCTTTGCGTTCCCCTCGTTACGCTCCCTTCTCCCCATCCCTGCTGCCCTCTTGCCACCATCAGCCCATCCGCACCACCAGCCCCCTCCCACCCTCTCTCTCCCCCCCTCCCTTTCCCTCTCTCTCTCTCTCTCTCTCTCTCTCTCTTTCTCACACACACACGCACACTCCCCTCCCCCACCCCCCACCCACGTCCTCCCATTCCGCCCCTCCCTGCCCCTTTCCCACCCCCTCGCACGCCCCTCACCTCCCACCTCCGTGCAACTGGTTTCCCCCCTATGGTGCCTCCCTTGCATCGCTCGCCCCTCTGCTCACCCTCTGCCCGCCCCTTTTCCGTGCCCTCAGCTGGCCCAGCCCCTGCCCGTTGCTGCCCCTCCCCTTGCCCCCTCAACTCCCCTGCCCCCCGTACACCCCAGTCCCATCCAACCGCCCCCACCCTCCCCCGGCTGCCCGTTTCCGCTCTCCACCCCCGCGACCGTGTGCGGCTTCCAACCGCCCAACGGTGGTGCGCACGGGGCGTTTCTTCGCACGGGCAAGCCTCCCCGGGGGGCCCCCACCCCGCTGAGTCGTTGTTTGGGCAAAAAAACGAAAATAAATAAAAAAATCGGACGCGCTAAAATCGTCCTTTCTTTTTCCCGCTTGCCCCTCCCCGGCATGTGCCGAGCAAGGGGCATAAATGGGTACAACACGAGGACTTCCCGGGAGGTCACCCAGCCCAGTACTGCTCTCGCCCACCGGCGCTTAGCTTCGGAGCTCTGATGGGATCCGGCGTAGTAGCCGAGGTATGATCGTACCACGTCAATCCCGTGCCCCGGACCGGTACACACCCCTTGCCCGGGTCCCCCTTCATAGTCACACCCCCTGCCCCCTCATGCCATCCGCTCCCCCGCCCCCACCCTCCGCGTGCCCTGCTCCCTTGCCGCCTCTTTTGACCCTCCCTGCCCCCTCGCCGTTTTCCCACCGCCCGCATTCGCTCCTCCCCGCCCGTGCGCGTCCCCCTCGTTACCTTCTCCTCCCCCCTCCCCTCCTCTGCTGCACGCCTCTTCCTTCCCCTCGCCGACCCAACTCCACTCCCTGCCCCCTCCTCAATCCGCACCCTGCCCCTCGTATCTCGCCCCCCCTATGCTTGGTTTCTCCCCTCCCTGCCCCTCGCCGCCTTTCTCCGCTCCCCACCTCCCCCCTCTCCCTGCGCCCCCCACTCTCCCCCCCTTGCCCTTGGCTTCCTACCTCCCTGCCCACCTTTCCCCCCTCCGTGTGCTCAGCTTCTCCCCTCCCTGCCCCTCCCTCCTCCCGCCCTGCCCCTCATTTTCCGCCCCCCACGCCCGGTTTCTCCCCTCTCCCCGCGCCTCCCTTTCTTCTCGTCCGTGCCTCTCCTTTGCTCCCTCCCTGCCCCCCGCCTGCCCATGCCCCTGTCTTTGGCTTCTCCCCTCCCTGCCCCACGTTTTCTTCCCTCCCTGCCCCCCCTCTGCCCCTCCCTTGTTTTCCCCTCACCCATTGCTTCTCCCTCCCTGCCCTTGATTTCCCGCACCCCTGCCCTTGTTTCCTACCATCCATGCCCCTCGTTTCCCCCCTTTGTACGTTCAGCCTCTTCCCTCCCTGCCCCTCCCCTCCTCCCCCCTGCCCTTTGCGTTCCCCTCGTTACGCTCCCTTCTCCCCATCCCTGCTGCCCTCTTGCCACCATCAGCCCATCCGCACCACCAGCCCCCCTCCCACCCTTCTCTCCCCCCCCTCCCTTTCCCTCTCTCTCTCTCTCTCTCTCTCTCGTCTCTCTCTCTCTCTTTCTCACACACACACGCACACTCCCCTCCCCCACCCCCCACCCACGTCCTCCCATTCCGCCCCTCCCTGCCCCTTTCCCACCCCCTCGCACGCCCCTCACCTCCCACCTCCGTGCAACTGGTTTCCCCCCTATGGTGCCTCCCTTGCATCGCTCGCCCCTCTGCTCACCCTCTGCCCGCCCCTTTTCCGTGCCCTCAGCTGGCCCAGCCCCTGCCGTTGCTGCCCCTCCCCTTGCCCCCTCAACTCCCCTGCCCCCCGTACACCCCAGTCCCATCCAACGCCCCCACCCTCCCCCGGCTGCCCGTTTCCGCTCTCCACCCCCGCGACCGTGTGCGGCTTCCAACCGCCCAACGGTGGTGCGCACGGGGCGTTTCTTCGCACGGGCAAGCCTCCCCGGGGGGCCCCCACCCCGCTGAGGTCGTTGTTTGGGCAAAAAAACGAAAATAAAAAAATCGGACGCGCTAAAATCGTCCTTTCTTTTTCCCGCTTGCCCCTCCCCCGGCACGTGCCGAGCAAGGGGCATAAATGGGTACAACACGAGGACTTCCCGGGAGGTCACCCAGCCCAGTACTGCTCTCGCCCACCGGCGCTTAGCTTCGGAGCTCTGATGGGATCCGGCGTAGTAGCCGAGGTATGATCGTACCACGTCAATCCCGTGCCCCGACCGGTACACACCCCTTGCCCGGGTCCCCCCTTCATAGTCACACCCCCTGCCCCTCATGCCATCCGCTCCCCCCCGCCCCCACCCTCCGCGTGCCTGCTCCCTTGCCGCCTCTTTGACCCTCCCTGCCCCCCTCGCCGTTTCCCACCGCCCGCCATTCGCTCCTCCCCGCCCGTGCGCATCCCCTCGTTTACCTTCTCCTCCCCCCTCCCCTCCTCTGCTGCACGCCTCTTCCTTCCCCTCGCCGACCCACTCCACTCCCTGCCCCTCCTCAATCCGCACCCTGCCCCTCGTATCTCGCCCCCCTATGCTTGGTTTCTCCCCTCCCTGCCCCTCGCCGCCTTTCTCCGCTCCCCACCTCCCCCCTCTCCCTGCCCCCCCACTCTCCCCCCCTTGCCCTTGGCTTCCTACCTCCCTGCCCCACCTTTCCCCCTCCGTGTGCTCAGCTTCTCCCCTCCCTGCCCCTCCCTCCTCCCCGCCCTGCCCCTCATTTTCCGCCCCCCCACGCCCGGTTTCTCCCCTCCCCGCCTCCCTTTCTTCTCTCCGTGCCTCTCCTTTGCTCCCTCCCTGCCCCCGCCTGCCCATGCCCCTGTCTTTGGCTTCTCCCCTCCCTGCCCCACGTTTCTTCCCTCCCTGCCCCCCGCTCTGGCCCTCCCTTGTTTTTCCCCTCACCCATTGCTTCTCCCCTCCCTGCCCTTGATTTCCCGCACCCCTGCCCTTGTTTCCTACCATCCATGCCCCTCGTTTCCCCCCTTTGTACGTTCAGCCTCTTCCCTCCCTGCCCCTCCCCTCCTCCCCCCCCTGCCCTTTGCGTTCCCCTCGTTACGCTCCCTTCTCCCCATCCCTGCTGCCCTCTTGCCACCATCAGCCCATCCGCACCACCAGCCCCCTCCCACCCTTCTCTCCCCCCCCCTCCCTTTCCTATCTCTCTCTCTCTCTCTCTCTCTCTTTCTCACACACACACGCACACTCCCCTCCCCCACCCCCCACCCACGTCCTCCCATTCCGCCCCTCCCTGCCCCTTTCCCACCCCCTCGCACGCCCCTCACCTCCCACCTCCGTGCAACTGGTTTCCCCCCCTATGGTGCCTCCCTTGCATCGCTCGCCCCTCTGCTCACCCTCTGCCCGCCCCTTTTTCCGTGCCCTCAGCTGGCCCAGCCCCTGCCCGTTGCTGCCCCTCCCCTTGCCCCCTCAACTCCCCATGCCCCCCGTACACCCCAGTCCCATCCAACCGCCCCCACCCTCCCCCGGCTGCCCGTTTCCGCTCTCCACCCCCGCGACCGGGTGCGGCTTCCAACCGCCCACGGTGGTGCGCACGGGGCGTTTCTTTCGCACGGGCAAGCCTCCCCGGGGGGCCCCCACCCCGCTGAGTCGTTGTTTGGCAAAAAAAAACGAAAATAAAAAAATCGGACGCGCTAAAATCGTCCTTTCTTTTTCCCGCTTGCCCTTCCCCCGGCACGTGCCGAGCAAGGGGCATAAATGGGTACAACACGAGGACTTCCCGGGAGGTCACCCACCCAGTACTGCTCTCGCCCACCGGCGCTTAGCTTCGGAGCTCTGAAAATGGGATCCGGCGTAGTAGCCGAGGTATGATCGTACCACGTCAATCCCGTGCCCCGACCGGTACACACCCCTTGCCGGGTCCCCCCCTTCATAGTCACACCCCCTGCCCCCTCATGCCATCCGCTCCCCCCCGCCCCCACCCTCCGCGTGCCCGCTCCCTTGCCGCCTCTTTTGACCCTCCCTGCCCCCCTCGACCGTTTCCCACCGCCCGCCATTTCGCTCCTCCCCGCCCGTGCGCTCCCCTCGTTTACCTTCTCCTCCCCCCTCCCCTCCTCTGCTGCACGCCTCTTCCTTCCCTCGCCGACCCACTCCACTCCCTGCCCCTCCTCAATCCGCACCCTGCCCCTCGTATCTCGCCCCCCTATGCTTGGTTTCTCCCTCCCTGCCCCTCGCCGCCTTTCTCCGCTCCCCACCTCCCCCCTCTCCCTGCCCCCCCACTCTCCCCCCCTTGCCCTTGGCTTCCTACCTCCCTGCCCACCTTTCCCCCCTCCGTGTGCTCAGCTTCTCCCCTCCCTGCCCCTCCCTCCTCCCCGCCCTGCCCCTCATTTTCCGCCCCCCCACGCCCGGTTTCTCCCCTCCCCGCGCCTCCCTTTCTTTCTCCGTGCCTCTCCTTTGCTCCCTCCCTGCCCCGCCTGCCCATGCCCCTGTCTTTGGCTTCTCCCCTCCCTGCCCCACGTTTCTTCCCTCCCTGCCCCCCCTCTGCCCCTCCCTTGTTTTCCCCTCACCCATTGCTTCTCCCCTCCCTGCCCTTGATTTCCTGCACCCCTGCCCTTGTTTCCTACCATCCATGCCCCTCGTTCCCCCCTTTGTACGTTCAGCCTCTTCCCTCCCTGCCCCTCCCCTCCTCCCCCCCTGCCCTTTGCTTTCCCTCGTTACGCTCCCTTCTCCCCATCCCTGCTGCCCTCTTGCCACCATCAGCCCATCCGCAACCACCAGCCCCCCTCCCACCCTTCTCTCCCCCCCTCCCTTCCTCTCTCTCTCTCTCTCTCTCTCTCTCTCTCTCTCTCTCTTTCCCCTAGAAAAGAAAAGAAAGAAAAAAACATAAAAAACCGGAATAAATAAAACAAAACCAGAGATCCAGCTTACAATTTCTCTCCCCTTTCCCCCAGGACCGCACCCAGTCCGTCCTCCTCTCTGTTCCAACACACTGCACCACACACTCCCCTTTCTGTCACCCACCGTTACCCCCCCTTTTTCCCCATTTCCCCATCAGGGCCCCCAGCAGACTTTTCTCCCCCCAGCCCCCGTCTCCCGGCCCTCAGTACCTCCGTGCACGGTCTCCTGCCACCCTTGGTCCCGCTCTGTCCCACCTCCCCCCTCCCCTCCCAGCCTTCTCCCTATCACCACCCTCATGTTCCCCCACTTCCCTGCCCACACCATACCTCCTCCACCCCCCCTCCCGCAGTCCCCACTTCCATTTTGCCTCCCCACACCTCTACGAGCCGTACTTCCCCCTCCAGCCCCCCTTTCCCCCCAGGTGCGCCCATATCCTGCGTGGGCTGCACCTCTGCATCCCGCCCTGCCAGGCCCTTCGGTGACCCACCTGCCGCCACCTGGCACCACACCCGCCCTTCCCACCCCCATCCAATCTCTACAACCCCCTGCCCCTGCCCCCTGTGCACTCCAGCCACCTACCCCAGCCTCCCTCTACCTTTCCTGGCACCACACCGCCCTTCCTACCCCTAGCCAAGGTCTACGCCCCTTGCCTCTGCTCCCTGCGCTGTGCCGTCCCCAACCTCCCTCCCGCCTCACCTCCGGCACCAGACCGCCTCTCCCTCCCCCAGCCAACCTCTGCACCCCCTGTTCCTGCCCCTTGTGCCTTCCAACACCCTACCCCAACCCCCCCCAGTCTCCCCCTTCTCCAGCAGCCATATTTCCTCCCCCCTGGGGCTCGCCCATCCGCTATTATCACCCTTCATCGATTCCCCAATTCCCTCTGTCCCCTGTTTCCCGGCCCCGCATTCTATTTTGCATTTACCACAGCGCCTCCTTTCGGTGCCCTCTCTGCTCTCCCACGTTCTCACCCCCCGGCCCCCAACCTTCTCTTTACCCGCTACCAGGCTCACGCCAACTCGACTACCCACTACCCTTTGCCCCTTCCTCTCTGTTCCCCACCCTTCCTCCCCCACTTTGCTCCACCTGCCCACCCCCACCTCCCGTTGAATTCTGTCCCGCCCCTCCCCACCTCTGGCCCACCACCTTTCCCCACACCCTGCTCACCCACCGCTACATCGCCCCCCGCTCCCCCACCTCCACTACAGCCCGCCAACACTTCCCCTCTCAACCGGCCCCCAGCCCGCCCCCCCCTTGGGCCCCCATCCCCTCCAACTGTCAGGCCCCCTCTACCCCTCTCTTCCACCCACTGCGCACCGCTTTCCCCACCCTTTTCCCTTTTTCCCAAGCTAACCCCCCGCACCCCGGCCTCTGCCAGGGAGTTTCTTCCCCCTTTGACGCCCTCTTGAGCCAACTCCAGCAACTCACACCGCCACCCGCCAGGCATGCTGCCTCTGTAACAATGCCCCAGCACCCCGCGAGTGGGGGAAAGGCAGACCCGGGAGCCCCTCGGCGATCTGGGAGGTCCCGCAGCCGAGCCACCCCCTACACATCCACCCCCCCCACTTCAACAGTCAGGAAGAAACAACACACACCCGACCAAGCGAAAACACTCACACAATCTGACCCTAGGGGCCAGAAGCGTACCCTTGAAGAGGATGGAACAGAGGAACGCCAAGCCCCACTGGAGGAAATACACGAGGAGGAGCCAGCACGCTCAAAACCGCGCCCTAACCCCGCTGCCCCCATCCCAGCCTACCCCCCCTCCAGGTGACAGCGGGGGCAGCACCCGTACATGCTCAGTGGAGAGATCCTCCAACTCACTCACTACCTCCCATTGTCAAACCAAAATACTTGTGAAACCACATAATCCTACCCGCACCCCCAAGCACATAGAAGTGGGAGAGGGCAGGGCCGGGGGGGAACCTGCAGCAGACACTACACGGGAAGGAGTAAGTGAGTCTGTAGTGGAAGGAGCAGCAGAGGCTGCAGAGGACGGGGCAGCAAAGGCTGCACGGGAAGGGGCAAGGGAGATTGTGGGGGAAGGGGCAGCAGAGGCTGCAGAGGAAAGGGCAGCAGAGGCTGCAGAGGAAAGGGCAGCAGAGGCTGCAATGGAAGGGGCAGCAGAGGCTGCACAGGAAGGGGCGGCAGGGGGGCGTGACTTTGGCCAGGCAAAGGGCAGAGGCCATGGAGACAGGTTTTGCAGAAGAAGGGCCCACAGGACCCGCTGCTGATTCGGCTGGGGGAACCGCAGCAGGGGAGGCTATAGGGACCGCATCAGGTGAGGCCGCACAGACCGCAGCAGGTGAGGCTGCAGGGACCACAGCGGGTGAGGCTGCAGGAGGGACCATGGCAGGTGAGGCCGCAAGGACCGCAGCAGGTGAGGCTGCAGGGGCCGCAGCAGGTGAGGCTGCAGGGGCCGCAGCAGGTGAGGCTGAGCAGATTCTAGCAGGTGAGGCTGCACAGACTACAGCAGGTGAGGCCGCAAGGTCTGCAGCAGGTGAGGCCACAGGGACTGCAGCAGGTGAGGCTGCAGGGACCGCGGCAGGTGAGGCTGCAGGGACTGCGGCAGGTGAGGCTGCAGGGACTGCAGCAGGTGAGGCTGCAGGGACTGCAGCAGGTGAGGCCGCAGGGACTGCAGGTGAGGCTGCAGGGACTGCAGCAGTGAGGCTGCAGGGACCACAGGGGGTGAGGCTGCAGGAGGGACCATGGCAGGTGAGGCCGCAGGGAGCGCAGCAGGTGAGATTGCAAGGGCCGCAGCAGGTGAGGCTGCAGGGGCCGCAGCATGTGAGGTTGAGCAGATTCTAGCAGGTGAGGCTGCACAGACTACAGCAGGTGAGGCCGCAGGGACTGCACCAGGTGAGGCTGCAGGGACTGCGGCAGGTGAGGCTGGCAGGGACCGCGGCAGGCGAGGTTGGGCAGATTCCGATAGGCGAGGCTTCACAGACTGCAGCAGGTGAGGCTTCACAGACTGCAGCAGGAGCGACAGGGGGCCACAGTGGGGGCTGGTACAGGGGGAGGTGCTACGGGGGCTGCAGCGGGGAAGGGGGTAACGGGGATTGGTGCGAGGGAGAGTGCCGCCCCGGCTGTAGCAGAGAAGGTGCGGCAAGGGCTGGAGTGGGAGAGGGGACTGCAGAGGCCTCAAAGGCAGAAGGTGAGGCTGCAGCTTGAAGCAGCAGGGAGGGCCATAGCACGGCCAGTAGGGGCGGCAGGCGCCGCAGCAAGCGCGGTGAAGCACACAGCAGGGCCGGCAGAGACTGCAGAAGGGGCTAGCAGTAAAGCGGCAGCAGGTGGGGTGGGCTCGGGGGACATAGGGGCAACAGGGGGAGGAGAGGCGAGCGAGGTCCCAACCGGAGGGACCACTGAAGGGGGGGATGTGATAGTGATAGAGGAGGATGAGGTAGAGGACGTGATGCACATCGACGGGCCACTGGCCCAATACCTCACGCTTGACGGTGAGGCTGACTCGGCCCCCTGCTGCCTCAGGCCGAGGTTCCCCCTCTCCCCCCAGGCCCGACCCCATGCTAGCAGATGGACCGATGGAGGGGCGGGAGGAGACTTTGCGGACAGAACCTCGCGAGGGAGACCCCATCCTTACCCCCCGTCCCCCAGCCACCACCCCCCGGGAGCACCACTTCCCCACCCCCACCCTCAGGTCCCTGTAGCATCCAGGGGGCAGCCAAGGCCCTGGCCTTCTTGGCGGAGCCGTGCTCCCCGACCCCCACGCTGTTCCATGGCCAGCCCCCCTCTCTGTCCCCAACGGCTGACCCCACGGTTACAGGCGGTCCACCGGGAGAGCGCGCGGGTGCGACAAGGGCAGAGCCACCCGAGGGCACCCCTTCTCTCACCTCTCACCCCTCCCTGCCCCTCCCTTCACTCCTTCCTTCCCCCCCAAGGGCAGCAAAACCTCTGCCCCCACCCTCAGGGGCTCCCCCGAGCACCACGTGGAGCAGCCAGGGCTCTGGCCTTCCTAGAGGAGCCATGCTCCCCGACTCCTACCAACACCCAGCCACCCCCTTCCGGCCCACTACCCCCCCCTCCACCAGGCCCTCCCCCACCCGGTAGTAGACACATCTCGGAGGTTGAAGCATCTGCGCGGTCAAATCTCTCTCCCACACGCTACATGCCACCCCAACCACCCGAGTTGCCGCACAGCCCCAACACGCTCACCCAACGGGCTGCCCTCCTCACACCACCCCCCCCAGGCAGCCGAGACCCACCCGCAAGGGCTTGTGCCCCAGGCTCATGGAAGCAACGGCACCCTGGTGGAGGGGCCCACAGAAGAGGCCACCACAGAGCCCACACAAACCTCTCTCCCCCCACCGCTTGTACCTCGCTCTAACCTCCACACTGGCCCAACGCCTCGACCACCCCCTCCAACCCCCTCTCCCGGCCGGGTTCCCCACGAGTGGCCACGTTGGGCAGCCATCATCCCCCACGCACAGCCCACCCGATCTGTTCCCACGGAGGGTGATATTTCGAGGAGAGAGGGGATGCACACAGAGCACCCCCCGCCTGGCGAACCACCCATCCTCCCCCCACCCACCCCTTTGGCCCCACAGCCCCCCCTTCCTCCACAAATAGGCACGGACAACCAGGTTGGCCGCCGGCGGAAGAACAAGGGCAGAGGAGGCAGAGGGTCAGCCCCCCGTACTCCCCCCTCCCTCCCTCCCCCCACCAGGAGCCCCTCCCACCCCACATCCCGCTGAACCCTTACAGGCCCCTACCCCTACAGGCCGACCACCAAACTTACACTCCCGTCCCGCACCTGCACCTCCACAGGGCCATGGGAGCGGACCAGCCCACTCACCCCCGGGCCGCCTCTCCCTTGCTCTACCCCCCCCCCAGGTGGTGGCGGCGGCCGCGAGCCCTGCCGGGATGGTGGCCGACGGGTTGAGGGATGCGCCCATGGCAGACGCCACCGACTCCCCCTCCCATCCCTCCCACCCCTTCCATGTCGACGACCCCCTACCGCAACCCATGGTGATTGGGGAGGGCCAAGGGGGCCTTCTAGGGCAGGGTCCACACCCGAGCTCTGCTCAGCCAGTACGCCCCACCCCCACCCTCTACCCTGCCAGCCCTCCTACTCTCACCTACAGACAGGCAGGTTATCAGGACCCAGAGGAGGTGAGGGCTGGCATCTCAGATCTGCTGGCGATACAGCACCCGAGCAGCTCCCCGGCTGCCCCCACCCTACCAGCCCCACAGGTCCGGATCCGGACGTATGCGGAGGTCACACGTTCTGTCCCTTCTTTTATCCCCTCCGCTACTGAGCCAGGCGCGTCACTCCCGTCCCCAATGGAGACGGACCTGGTTCTGAGGCCGGGTCACTCGCACCTAGACGGGGTGGCGCCTCCCCCCGTTCAGCCCGGGGCGCAGGAGGTCACCAGCATTAGGGATGAGGCGCCCGCCCCTGCCGAGACCCCTGCAGAGCCGCCACTTGGACCGCACCCCGCCGAGGGGCAGGGGCACACCACGGCACACACTTCAGGCTCACCCTCCACATCCCCCCTCCTTAGCTTCGAGACCGGTACCAGCAGGAGGCCCGGCCCCATCCTGTGTGGCACCTCCTCTATCTTCTCCGACACCCCCCCCTGCGCGGGGCAGGTGAGTCGTCTCCTCCCCCTCATCCCAGGCGATCCTCTTGGAGCTCAGGCCGCCCATGGGGCCCCCTCTACAGCCAGTTCCGACGCCACGGCCCCGATTGACCCCGCCGACACGGCGACATCACCCGACCAGGTCGTGAGTTGCCCCACCTGCAGGAGCTCTCTCGCGAACCGACGCGCGCTCCCAGCACCACACTCCCTTCTGCCATCCGGCGGACGCAGCTCGCAGGGCACAGGCCGTCCATGACGCCACCTCGATCCTCCCTTCCCTCTCACAGCCCCGTGCGACTGGGATACAGTTTCACTGACGCACCAGTGGCAGACGCTCGACTCGGTGGACTGGACAGAGTACTTCTCGTCCGAGCGTATCCATGGCACGCCCTCTCCGGCGTGTCCCGGAGAGGGTCCCCGGAGGATATCTCGACGTTCTCAGTGCGATCCTAGTCCGCATTGCCCAGAACCCGGAGGCTGCTGGCCCTACCTTCCTCCTCGCTGTGGCGCCGACCCTTTTCCTCGCTCCAGCGACGCCACCCGACCGCTCGCACACGGCTGCCATTGCAACGCGCATCTCCCGCTTTGGTCGAGGTGAGTGGGATGAGCTACTCTCAGATGCACTAGGCCGCCGCACACCCCTCCCTCGACGCAACAGGTCACCGGTCACGCACCGCCACCGATCCCTCCACAGCAGATGAGCGCCGCATTGCACGTTGCCTTCGTCTGGCGGCGTGCAATGAGACCTCTCGGGCCTGTGCGGCTCTTGAGTCCGCGGAGGCAGCCCCAGATACACAAGGGACGATACAGCGCCTGCGGTCGAAGCACCCCAACACGGAGAGGCCGACCCCAGCTTGGCTGTCTGGCTTCCAGGGGTCTGCTCTTGTGCTCTCGGTGGATCACTTACGACGCGCGATCTTCACAGCACCGCGTGGCTCTTCCGGAGGACCGTCCGGTTGGGTTGCTGAGCATCTTCGAGACACTTTCTTGGCTTTCCCTCAGAGTCTCCATTTCCTCCTGGCTGTGTACCAGCAGTGGCTCCGAGGCCGTTGCGCGCCATCTGCACGCTCCCTGCTAGCGTCCTCCACCCTCGTGGCTTTGGCGAAGTCGAACATGGATGTTCGGCCGATTGCCATCGGCGAGGTGTTGGTCCGCATTCTTTCACGAGCAGTCTGTCTCCAGCTCCGGGACCAGATGGCGAGAGTCTTCCTTGCGTCACAGTAGTTTGGGGTGGGGGTGACGTGCGGGACAGAGGTCGTAGTTAGAGGCGTCCGCCGTGCTCTGGCTGACCACCCAGACTGGGTGGTCCTGCAGCTAGACGTGGCGAATGCTTTTAACTCTTTTCACCGAGACAGGATGTTTCAGGCGCTGCAGGCCAGTCCGGAGTTTCAGTGTCTGATCCCCTTCATCGGCCTCTTCTACGGGACGCCCTCAGATCTCCACTACAGGTCAGGTACGGGAAGTGGTCACGATGCACTCGGAGCGTGGCACTCGCGAGGGAGACCCCTCAGCCCCTTCTTGTACGCTCTGACACAGCGCCTTGCCTTGGAGCCGGTTCTGTCGGAGGGGGATGTCCAGCTCTGGTCCGTACGCAGATGACACGTACGTGCTAGGGTCCTCCAGACAGGGTGCTACACCACTTCGCCGAGATCGTGAGGCGCTTTGGGCGAGATGGGCCTTGCGGTCCAATCGCACAAGTGCCTCGTCTACCAGACAGAGTCCTTCCTGTCCAGGGATTTGGGGGCTTTCACGGGCCTAGGGATCGAGGTCGCACGCCGAGGGCTCACCGTGACAGGCGTACCGGTGGGCACCGTTTCGTTCGTGGAGCAGAGTCTCCCAGATCGTCTCCGAGAGGATGGGGCGGGTGCTACCTTGGCTTCCGAGGTTGCGCCAGCCCCAGACAGCTGCTCGCCTTCTTTCGGCATGTGTCAGCACTCGCCCGCAGTACCTGTCGAGGACCGTCCCTCCCTCGCCCGCAGTGATCTCCAGTTTTACACGGTGGGACGCACGCCTGTGAGAGACTTTTCAGCAGCTTTTAGCGTCAGGGACCTGGGCTTGTCGTGAGGACGTCCGAGAGGCCGCCCTAGACCAGATCTTCCTCCCCATCCGTCTCGGGGGTTTCGGCATTCGGCGCATGGCGCGCATTGCCCCGGTGAGTTTCGTGTGCTCTTGGGTGCAGTGTGCACCCATTCTCTATTCTCTCCCTGCGTGTGGCGAGGTGTTTCGGCAGAGCTTCGCTTCTGGTGAGCCAGAGCAGATCGACCGGGCTCTGCAGACGGCGCTAGAGGGTCTCCCACCTGACGTTCTCCCTCTCCTTCCCTCCTGGCCCTCTTGCGCTTCTGCCTCCCCTGATTCCCTTTTTGCAGGAGCGAGCCGCCTTCTGGAGGCGCATGCCTTGGAGGCCGTGCGTGCCCGTCACACCTCTCCCTTGCACCTTGCCCGTTTGACTTCCCTTCAGGGCGGAGGTGCAGGAGCGTGGTTGACGTCGGTGCCGTACGCCGATCCACTGCGCATCCCGGAGGCGCTGTGGCAGGTGGCGTCATCATCTCGTCTTGGTCTCCCTATCCCCCAGCTAGCCCTTGCAGGTCAGTGCTCCTGTGGACAGGCGATCGACGACATGACGGTGCCTCATCACGCGGTTCGGTGCCCACGTTTCGGCGTCGCCACGACCATCCACGACACGGTGAAGTACATGCTTCGAGATTTCGCGGTCGAGGCGGGCTTCGCGGTGAAGGTGGAGGACACCACGCTGTTTACACAGTTGGAGGCGGCTCGGGCGAGACTGCAGGGACAGCCGGTGGTGGGGGAGGAGACACGGTTGAGGGACCGCTGGAGAAGAGGGGCGAGGCGGGACAGCCGGGCAGCGGGAGGCAGTCGGGACAGCATCAGCTGCGGGGGTCGGGTGGCGCGAGGGGCAGGCGGGCAGAGGGGAGGGCAGGGGGAGCAGACGGGCCAGGACGTGGAAGGGGGACAGCAGGGGCAGCAGCAGGAGAGCCAGCGGGGGCCGCGGGCCCAGGGCGTCGCACCTCCGGGTGTGGGCTCGGGGGTGGGGCAGGGGCGAGAGCAGCAGAGAGCGAACGGAGGTACAGTGGGGGGGAGCGGGATCGGGAGGGGAGGACCAGGGAGTGGGAGAGGCAGCAGGGGATCGAGCAGGGGGGTTGGGAGGGTTGGAGGAGGGTAGAGAGGGGGAGAGGAGAGGACAGGTGGGTGGAGGAGAGGAGAGGGGGAGAGAGACGACCGGAGAGGAGGCACCGAGGGACCAGACAGGGCAGCAGCCAGCGCAGCAGCAGGGACCAGTCGGACGCACAGGCCGGGTAGGCACCTCCTCCCGCATCCCAGACCTCACCTGCCGCGAAGTTGGGCAGAGTTTGATGGTTCTTGTGGATGTCTCCATAGCGGATCCACAGCGGGAGGGGAACGTCCAGCTGAGACGGGCGACCCCCACACAGATTGGAGTGGCAGCAGCTAGGCGGGTGCAGGAGAAGCTGCGTCACCTGGGGGCCGCACTTAGAGGGTTTGCAGCCGGCACCACACTTTTACGCGTGCGTGGCGGAGACTTTTGGCCTTCTGAGCGAGCCGCTGCGTTAGTTTTTGGGGCTCTGCGCAAAGAGGATAGCACAGCGGAGGAGGGATAGGGGTGGGGGGGATGACGGATCAGCACGGATATTGAGGCAGGACTCACTACACGCCTCTCCGTGGCACTGCAGCGCGCGCAGGCTCAATGCATCATCCAGCATGCGGTGCGGCAGTTGGGGGGATCCGACGACGGGTGGATGCCCGCACCAGTCCCACTGAGTGCGGGGCAGGGTACTTGGCACCACGTCACAGGGTGCTTCGAGAGTGTGGCTGACATGCAATATATATATGATGCATATGTGTAAAAAACAATAGTGGCTGTGCTTGAAACGCTGTGCCTGCGCTGTTGGGCAGGTTGCTGCTGTGTTTGGTCCCTTGGTGCTTCCTCCTCAGTCTCTCTCCCCTATCTCCTCTTCTCTTCCCACCTCCCTTTTCCTTTCCCCTTCTTCTATCCTTCTCTTCTCTTCCTTCCCCTCTCTTCTTTTCCCTACTACCTCTTCTTACTCCTTGATCTTTTCTTCTTCTTCTTTCTTTCCCCTCTTTCCTACAAAATATATATACCGTCCTCATAGCGAATGAGTCATGCCGAAATTGCCTATTCTTGGAAAACCCACCATATTCGGCTTGTATTTGCTCTTCCCCTATTAATAAATAACTGCTCTCGCCCACCGGCGCTTAGCTTCGGAGTTCTGATGGGATCCGGCGTAGTAGCCGAGGTATGATCGTACCACGTCAATCCTGTGCCCCGACCGGTACACACCCCTTGCCCGGGTCCCCCCCTTCATAGTCACACCCCCTGCCCCCTCATGCCATCCGCTCCCCCCGCCCCCACCCTCCGCGTGCCCGCTCCCTTGCCGCCTCTTTTGACCCTCCCTGCCCCCCTCGCCGTTTCCCACCGCCCGCCATTCGCTCCTCCCCGCCCGTGCGCTCCCCTCGTTTTACCTTCTCCTCCCCCCTCCCCTCCTCTGCTGCACGCCTCTTCCTTCCCCTCGCCGACCCACTCCACTCCCTGCCCCTCCTCAATCCGCACCCTGCCCCTCGTATCTCGCCCCCCTATGCTTGGTTTCTCCCCTCCCTGCCCCTCGCCGCCTTTCTCCGCTCCCCACCTCCCCCCTCTCCCTGCCCCCCCACTCTCCCCCCCTTGCCCTTGGCTTCCTACCTCCCTGCCCCACCTTTCCCCCCTCCGTGTGCTCAGCTTCTCCCCTCCCTGCCCCTCCCTCCTCCCCGCCCTGCCCCTCATTTTCCGCCCCCCCACGCCCGGTTTCTCCCCTCCCCGCGCCTCCCTTTCTTTCTCCGTGCCTCTCCTTTGCTCCCTCCCTGCCCCCGCCTGCCCATGCCCCTGTCTTTGGCTTCTCCCCTCCCTGCCCCACGTTTCTTCCCTCCCTGCCCCCCCTCTGCCCCTCCCTTGTTTTCCCCTCACCCATTGCTTCTCCCCTCCCTGCCCTTGATTTCCCGCACCCCTGCCCTTGTTTCCTACCATCCATGCCCCTCGTTTCCCCCCTTTGTACGTTCAGCCTCTTCCCTCCCTGCCCCTCCCCTCCTCCCCCCCTGCCCTTTGCTTTCCCCTCGTACGCTCCCTTCTTCCCATCCCTGTTGCCCTCTTGCCACCATCAGCCCATCCGCACCAGCAGCCCCCCTCCCACCCTTGTCTCCCCCCCCCCCCTTTCCCTCTCTCTCTCTCTCTCTCTCTCTCTCTCTCTCTTTCTCACACACACACGCACACTCCCCTCCCCCACCCCCCCACCCACATCCTCCCATTCTGTCCCTCCCTGCCCCTTTCCCACCCCCTTTTACGTCCCTCACCTCCCACCTCCGTGCAACTGGTTTCCCCCCTATGGTGCCTCCCTTGCATCGCTCGCCCCTCTGCTCACCCTCTGCCCGCCCCTTTTCCGTGCCCTCAGCTGGCCCCAGCCCCTGCCCGTTGCTGCCCCTCCCCTTGCCCCCTCAACTCCCCTGCCCCCCGTACACCCAGTCCCATCCAACCGCCCCCACCCTCCCCCGGCTGCCCGTTTCCGCTCTCCACCCCCGCGACCGTGTGCGGCTTCCAACCGCCCAACGGTGGTGCGCACGGGGCGTTTCTTCGCACGGGCAAGCCTCCCCGGGGGGCCCCCCCCCCGCTGAGTCGTTGTTTGGGCAAAAAAACGAAAATAAAAAAATCGGACGCGCTAAAATCGTTCCTTTCTTTTTCCTGCTTGCCCCTCCCCTGGCACGTGCCGAGCAAGGGGCATCAATGGGTACAACACGAGGACTTCCCTGGAGGTCACCCAGCCCAGTACTGCTCTCGCCCACCAGTGCTTAGCTTCGGAGTTCTGATGGGATCCGGCGTAGTAGCCGAGGTATGATCGTACAACGTCAATCCCGATCCCCGACCGGTACACACCCCTTGCCCGGGTCCCCCCTTCATAGTCACACCCCCTGCCCCCTCATGCCATCCGCTCCCCCCGCCCCTACCCTCCGCGTGCCCGCTCCCTTGCCGCCTCTTTTGACCCTCCCTCCCCCCTCAGCTCGCACCTCGCTCTTACCTCCAGGCCGCTCTAGCGCCTCGGCCCCCACCCACAACCCCCGCGCACGGCCCGGTTCCTCACGAATGGCCCCGATGGGCAGCCATCGGTCCCTTTCGTGCAGCCCGCCGAGCATGGCGGGGCCATGAGGAGGGGAGGGTTACACACGGAGCCTCCCCCCCCCTCACCAACCACCCATGCTCCCCCCACCCACCCCCTTGGCTCCTCAGTCCCCTCTTCCTTCACACCCGGGCAGGGACAACGAAAACCAAGCCGGCCGGCGGCGGGAAGAACAAAGGCAAGGAGGCAAAGGGCCAGCTCACCTACTCCCCCCTCTCTCCACTCCCCTACAGGCGCCCCCCCCCCCTTCCTCACATCCCCCTCAAACTACACCCAAGTCCCACACCGGCAGGCCAACAACCTAACTCACACTCCCCTCCCGTGTTTGCCCCTCCATAGGGCCACGGGAATGAATCCGCCCACTCACTCTTAGGCCACCTCTCCCTTCCTCTGAACCCGGCCCCAGGTGGCGGCAACGGCGTACGCTGCCGGTATGGGGTCCGAGGAGATGAGGGACGAGCCCATGAGTGACTCCACCGACTCTTCTTCGCATACCTCCCACCCCATTCGAGTCGACGGCCCCCTACCGCAACCCATGGTCACCGAGGAGGGCCGAGGGGGCTCTCTAGCGCAAGGACCACACCCGGGCTCCGCTCAGCCAGCACGCCCCACCCCACCCTCTGCCCTGCCACCCCTCTTACCTTCATTAGCAGGCAGGCATGTTGCTGGGGACCCCACAGGAGGTGAGGGCTGCCATTTCGGACCTGCTAGCGATACAGAGCCCTAGCAGCACCCCAGCTGCCCCCACCCTACCAGTCCCAGAGGTCCAGAGACGGACATATGCGGAGGTCACTCGCTCGGTCGCTTCTTTCACCCCCCCCACTTCTCAGCCAGGCTCGTCACTCCCATCCCCGATGGAGACGGACTGGTTCTGAGGTCGTGTCACTCGCACCCAGATGTAGTGGCGCCTTCCCCCATTCAGCATGTTGCTGACACACTTCCAGTGGCGCAGGAGGGCACCAGCACCAGGTATGAGTCACCCCGCCCCTACAGATGCCCCTCCTGTCACCCACCTCTACATCCCTCCTCCAGGGCCCCTGGGCTGGTACCCGCCACGAGGCCCGGCCCCGTCACTGAACCCTCCTCTTTTAACCAGTGCCACCAGCCCCACTTGTGAAGGCTCCCCACAGTCGTGGTGCACCCGTTTTCTACTCCCACCGTGGACGCCCCCCCCACAGGTCCCTCCGGTTGACGACCTCCCTTCCACGGCTAGCTCCGATGGCACCACCCCACCCGACCCCGCCGATACGGCCACGTCACCGGACCAGCCCATCACATGCACTACCTGCCAGAGCACCCTGGCAAGCACCCGAGCACCCAGGCACCACACACCCTTCTGCCACCACAGCGGATGCAGCTCGCCGGGCACAGGCCGTCCATGACACCACCCTCGATTCTCCCTTCTCTCTCACAGCCCCGAGCGACCGGGATACAGTTCACAGACGCACAGTGGCAGACGCTCGACTCGGTGGACTGGACAGAGTACTTCTCCTCGCCCGAGCGTATTCATGCACGCCCTCTCCGGCGTATCCCGGAGAGGGTCTGCGGAGGATATCTCGACGTTCTCAGTGCGATCTTAGCCTGCATTGCCCAGGACCCGGAGGCTGCTGGCCCTACCTTCCTTCTCGCGGCAGCGCCGACCCTTTTCCTCCTCGCTCCGGCGACGCCACCCGATACCGCTCGCACACGACCGCCATTGCCACACGCATCTCCCGCTTTGGTCGAGGTGAGTGGGCTGAGCTACTCTCAGATGCACTAGGTCGTCGCACACCCCTACCTCAGCGCACAGGTCTCCGATCACACACCGCCACCGATTCCTCTACAGCAGATGAGCGCCGCATTGCACGTTGCCTTTGCTTGGTGGCGTGCAATGAGACCTCACGGGCATGCGTGTGCTCTCGAGTCCACGGAGGCAGCCCCAGATACACAGGGGACGATACAGCGCCTGCAGTCGAAGCACCCCAACGCGGAGAGGCCGACCCCAGCTTGGCTGTCGGGCTTCCAGGGGTCTGCTCTCGTGCTCTCGATGGATCACTTACGTCGCGCGATTTTCACAGCTCCGCGGGGCTCTTCGGGAGGACCGTCGGTTGGTCGCCGAGCACCTTCGAGACACTTTCCTAGCTTTCCCTCAGAGTCTCCATTTTCTCTTGGCTGTGTACCAGCAGTGGCTTCGAGGTCGTTGCGCTCCAGCTGCGCGCTCCTTGCTAGCATCCTCAAACCCTCATGGCTCTGGCGAAGTCGAACATGGATGTTCGGCCGATTGCCATTGGCGAGGTTTTGGTCCGCATTCTTTCGCGTGCAGTCTGTCTCCAGCTACGTGACCAGATGGCAAGGGTCTTCTTGGCATCACAGCAGTTTTGGGGTGGGGGTTACGTGCGGGACAGAGGTCGTAGTTAGAGGCGTCCGCCGCGCTCTGGCTGACCACCCAGACTGGGTGGTCCTGGAGCTAGACGTGGCGAATGCCTTTAACTCTTTCCACCGAGGACAGGGTCTTTCCAGGCTCTGCAGGCCAGTCTGGAGTTCCAGTGTCTGATCCCCTTCATCGGCCTCTTCTACGGGACGCCCCTCGGACCTCCACTACAGGTCAGGTACGGGAGTGGTCACGATGCACTCGGAGCGTGACACTCGTCACGGAGACCCCCTCAGTCCCTTCTTGTACGCTCTGACACAAGCGCCTTGCCTTGGAGCCAGTTTCTGACGGAGGGGGGTGTCCAGCTCTGGTCGTACGCCGATGACACATACGTGCTAGGCCCCCCAAGACAGGGTGCTACACCACTTCACCCGAGATCGTGAGGCGCTTGGGCGAGATTGGCCTTGCGGTCCCAGTCGCACAAGATGGCCTCGTCTACCAGACGGATTTCCTTTTCTTTCCAGGGATTTGGAGGCTTTCACGAGCCCTAGGGATCGAGGTCGCACGCCGAGGGCTCACCGTGACAGGCGTACCGGTGGGCACCGTTTCGTTTGTGGAGCAAAGTCTCCCGGATCGTCTCGAGAGGGTGGGGAGGGTGCTACCTTGGCTCCCGAGGTTGCGCCAGCCCAGACAGCTGCTCGCCTTCTCTCGGCATGTGTCAGCACTCGTCCGCAGTACCTGTCGAGGACCGTCCATCCTCTCGCCCGCAAGTGATCTCCAGTTTACACGATGGGATGCACGCCTGGGAGAGACTTTTCAGCAGCTTTTAGCCTCAGGGACCTGGGCTTGTCGCGAGGACGTCCGAGAGGCCGTCCTAGACCAGATCGTCCTCCCCATTTTGTCTCGGGGGTTTCGGCATTCGTCGCATGGCGCGCATTGCCCCGGTGAGTTTTCGTGTGCTCCTGGGTGCAGTGTGCACCCATTCTCTGTTCTCTCCCTGCGTGTGGCGAGGTGTTTCGGCAGAGCTTTGCTTCAGGTGAGCCAGAGCAGATCAACTGGGCTCTACAGACGGCGCTAGAGGGTCTCCCACCTGACGTTCTCTCTCTCCTTCCCTCTTGGCCCTCTTGCGCTTCTGCCTCCCCTGATTCCCTTTTTGCAGAAGTGAGCCGCCTTCTGTAGGCGCATGCTTAGGAGGGCCGTGCGTGCCCGTCACACCTCTCCCTTGCACCTTGCCCGTTTGACTTCCCTTCAGGGCGGAGGTGCAGGAGCGTGGTTGAAGTCGGTGCCGTACGCCGATCCATTGCGCATCCCGGAGGCGCAGTGGCACGTGGCTTCCTCATCCCGTCTTGGTCTCCCGATCCCCCAGTTAGCCCTTGCAGGTCAGTGCTCCTGTGGACAGGCGATCGACGACATGACTGTTCCTCATCACGCGGTTCGGTGCCCACGTTTCGGCGTCGCCACTACCATCCACGACATGGTGAAGTTCATGCTTCGAGACTTCGCGGTCGAGGCGGGCTTCGCGGTGAAGGTGGAGGACACCACGCTGTTCACACAGTTGGAGGCGGCTCAAGCGAGACTGCAGGGACAGCCTGTGCTAGGAGAGGGGACACGGGCTGATGGTCCGTGGGAGCAGAGGGGCGAGGCGGGAGAGCCGGGTGGAGGGGGGCAGTGGGGACAGCATCAGCTGCGGGGTCGGGTGGCGTGAGGGGCAGGTGGGCAGAGGGGACGACAGGGGGAGCAGACGGGCCAGGACGTGGAGGGGGGACAGCAGGGGCAGGCAGCAGCAGGAGAGCCAGCGGAGGCCGCGGGCCAAGGGCGTCGCATCTCCGGGGGTGGGCTCGAGGGGTGGAGCAGGGGCGAGAGCAGCAGAGAGCGGACGGAGGTACAGGGGGGGGAGCGGGATCGGGAGGGGAGGACCAGGGAGTGAGAGAGGCAGCAGGGGGATCGAGCAGGGGTGGGTTGGGGAGGGTTGGGGGGAGGGTAGAGAGGGGGAGGGGAGAGGACAGGTGGGTAGAGGAGAGGAAGAGGGGAGAGAGACGATCGGGAGAGGGGGCACCGATGGGACCAGATCAGGGCAGCAGCCAGCGCAAGCAGCAGGGACCAGTCGGACTCACAGGCCATGTGGGCACCTCCTCCCGCATCCCAGACCTCACCTGCCGCGACTCGTTGGGCAGAGTTTGATGGTTCTTGTGGATGTCTCCATAGCGGATCCACAGCGGGAGGGGAACGTGCAGCTGAGACTGGCGACCCCCACACAGATTGGAGTGGCAGCAGCTAGGCGAGTGCAGGAGAAGCTGCGTCACTGGGGGCCGCACTTAGAGGGGTTGCAGCGGACACCACACTTTTACGCGGCGTGGCGGAGACCTTGGCCTTCTGAGCGAGCCGCTGCGTCAGTTTTTGGGGCTCTGCGCAAAGAGGATAACACAGCGGAGGAGGGATAGGGGAGGGGGGGACGACGGATCGGCACGGATATTTGAGGCAGGACTCACTACACGCCTCTCCGTGGCACTACAGCGCGCGCAGGCTCAATGCATCATCCAGCATGCGGTGCGGCAATTGGGGGGATCCGACGACGGGTGGATGCCCGCACCAGTCCCAGTGAGTGCGGGGCAGGGTACCTGGCACCACGTCACAGGGTGCTTCGAGAGTGTTGCCCGACATGCAGTATATATATGATGCATATGTGTAAAAAACAATGGTGGCTGTGCTTGAAACGCTGTGCCCGCGCTGTCCTGTGGGTTGCTGCCGTGTTTGGTCCCTTGGTGCTTCCTCCTCC